ATATATATATATATATATATATATTACTTATATATACTTACATATTTTATAATACTAGCGAATCGTCCCGGCTTCCTCCTGAATAGGATCTATTAAGTGGCGTAATTAAGATTTAAGATAATCAAAAACCATTTATTTTATCAATTTTTAATTTTAAAAAAAACAAGCTTTTCTAATAAAATATAGCTTAGATCACTCGTGGCATTGCTCTCTATCTGTTTGTAAAGTTTCATCACAATCAGTCCAGGCGTTACGAAGATTAACCCGGACAGACAGAAAAACCGACAAAAATTTTAAAAATGATTCATTATTTCGTAATAGCATGCAAACGACCGCCGAGCTTAACAGAAGCCAGTAGTTTCATTATTACAGATAGACACTTAATTTTTTTTACATGTATATAGATGAACAAATCATCACTTAATATATTACTTATCTATAGAACAAAATTTCGGAGAGTGTGCGCTTGAATTGCATGACATAATTCGCACCTCTTCTCTCTCAGTATCCGCCCTTTAGATGTCGACATACCACGGGTCGCAACTAAATGGTTTACTTCGTCGTTCGTAATGCCTACAGGAACATAACATATAAAAATCCAGCATCTATCCTTCCATCCGATTACAATGTGAATGTTTTCAAGCAAAGGTTAATAGGCTTTTGTTAAGTTAGCTATACCATCCTCGAGTACATCACCGGTGGGATAGGTGTTAAGCTATGGGTTACTTGTAATAGCTTTTTTATAGGATAGGGTGACAAACGAGCACACAGTCCATGGTAAGTGGTTGCTGTGACCCATAGACATCTACATTTATCCTCAATAAAGAATCAAAATGCAGATGCGTCGTCAGCCGTGAGGATTAAGATGGAATGCCTCTTTTGCAGTAAAAAGGGTCTCCAGTTCTCTACACTCACCATACGAAACACAGCAGTGTCTAGCTGTCATTTTACGCTGGTATTCTGTGAGAGCGTAGTCCTTCCCCGGTCGAGCCGACCCATTTGTGCTACAACTATACTACTAATATAGCTGCAGCATGGCTCTACCACGTAAAAAGAATTAAGAAAAATGTGCGTTTACTATGTCTTCTACTCATTAACATACTAAATGAATATAACATATAAGTATGAAATGAAAGATGAATGGTATGCGAATGACGTCACTAGGCACTGAGGACAAACCGGTTCATTAACTGTACGAGGAACATGGAACAATGTATGCGTCACATTATTACAATTTAAGTACTACGACTTATCTTCTATGCAAATAAATACAATCTATACAAATAAATAAAGTTGAAGTGTCTGTTTGTAATATCAAAATAACAGCTTTTAACTAAATACATATGAAAGTGTAGACGGCACTTAAAACAAAAACACAATTTTTTTAATTTTTGTCTGTCTGTCTATCTGTCTGTGTGTCTGTCTGTTTGTTCCGGCTAATCTCCGAAGTGGCTGGACCGATTTTGACGGGATTTTCACTGGCAGATAGCTGATGTTATAAGGAGTAACTTAGGGTACTTTTATTTTAGAAAAAGAATTAGGGTTCCGCGCGAAATAATTAAAACCCTAAATTGAACGCGGTGGAAGTCGCGGGGAACAGCTAGTTATGAGTATAAGAATTATATCTAGTGCCGACGGCACCGCACCGGTCTGCGGTTAACCTGTACGAATAAAATACCAATTTAAATTTGATTCTAGAGTTTTCTTTGGTGTTACTATCTACTCTCGCCAATAATAAGTATCTCAAGTCAAGAACACGCCTAGGGACGCCTTGTCAAGAACACTTAGTTACAGCAAGATCTGTTTATTTTAGCCATTTTCAGTATTATATTAAGACATAGCACTGTGGAAATAACTATACATGCTATTTACAATACAAGACGAAGGGACTCGCTCATAGATCCTTTTTAAGAAATAAATATCTTAACTGTTGCATCACAATTTATTTTGGACCATACTATATCATTATTTATATAAGTAAAAATTTCAATATCTATGACAAAACATTTATTTGTGATAACTATAACATAGCCGCAGCGTGGCTCTACCACGTAAAAATTAGCACCTCTCCCGTAATTCTAGGATCATATCTAAAATATTTGACAGTTAAGAACGTTTGAAGGTCTGCGAAGAACGAAGAGGTACAGAGGTATCTAAACTTGCCAGAACTACCTTTGGGTATGCTATGGTATGGGTTATGAATAATATTCGGTCTGGACGTTTGTTCGTGTTTAATTTATATATGTTACACGCCTTCACGCTACAGAAGGAATTTATAAAACGGCGTTAAAAAAAAATTACACCTTTGATTTGAATTTATCTCGACTATCCAGTCGATTTTTTGTTTCAGAGAAAATACTTTTGGGGATTTTAGTAAGCAACCCTAATCATCAGGCAGGTACTCGTATGTTATGAAAGACAGATTGATTGATGCACTGCTTGGAGTTTGGTCAGTTTTTACACCGTTAATATGCAATTTTGTAAAAGCTACGTGACATCAATAATTGGATTATTAAAAAAAGACCTTAATTACCATTTGATCTGGTAAGGACCGTCCTGGAAGTGTACTCTAACTGTACACGTACAATTAGCTAAATTGGTTGGCTAGCTTCTAAAATATCGTGTTACATACGGTTAAAAATAACATATTGTTAACTTTCTCTTTTTAATGTCGGTAAAATTTTGAGATAACAACGGTTTGGTTTAAAGATGTACATGTAGAATGATTCAAAGCTGCCTAAATGGAGACAAAGCTATAAATATCTTTTTATACTTGTGACAAGACATTGTCCTCCAGACCGAGTTTCAGTCACGGTGGCCAGTGTCAAAGGGGACTAGCCATCTGCGTAAGACAGGATTATAGTGCCCGAGTGTTTGCGCGAGCACAAGTGCACTCTCTATTCTGTCACTCCCCTATGGGAGTCTGTATGGGATAATCGTCCCATCGGGATAATCCGATGGAACGATTATCTAACTCAACCATAGTGCCATCGGACCCACATTTTGGTGTTTTTAGCACTAAACCATAATCAATTTAAAGTTTAGGCTAAACCATATCAGTACTGCAATCGCCAATCCATGCTTAGCATGGTGGATATACACTCACGCCTGTCACCCAGATGGGTAGGCAGAGACTATGGACTTCCATTTGGCACGATCTTGACACACCTCTCTCGCTTCCTCCACATCCATATACCTACGCACGCATACACGCTCGTCGGTTAAAGGTACTCTTGATTTGGCCCATTTTCAATATATAGCCAATTTGGTCGATAAACTTTCACCTAGGGCCCTAGGGCGACCCTTCCCGACTCTGCCGTTCACCTCTGCAACATAAATTTGCTTTGTCATTTTGTCACGGGGATGATTCGCTCGCGTTCGTAGGCTTTGACCACCTAATCCTAGGCCCACCCTACACGTGTCCCCTACAGACTCGGCTCCTCGCCGTGTGGTAGCGGCGTAAAAAATACCAACCCCTACTTTCGCACCATGAGGCAAAAAATTTACGAAAATTAGCAGGTGGATTGGCTGATTATTGTTACATTTAGCATTATTCTCGAGTTAAGCCGTCATCTAATTGCAGAACTCGAGATCTTTTTTCCTTCGTTCCTTTGTATTGTTATAGACATTTTATAATTTCTTGTGTTTATTTATTTACATAACAGTCAAACAAATGTTTTCCTTGTATCCATTTTGGCTGAAGCAGATTTATACTTGAAAACAAATGCTGGATGCTATCCATTGTTTACATAGTTTTCAATAGAAATATTTTTCCCCTGCCAAAGCATTATATAATACTTGAACGTATATCGACCCTGAATTATTGCAGCAGCACGAATAGATCGGCTCAACTACAGGACAAAAATGCTCGCAATACCAGCTAAAGCAGCAGCATAATAGTACTGTGTTTCGTATGAGAAGTGGCGAGATTCAGAGACCCTTTTCACAGGTAATGGAAGATCCTGCAATAAAATTTTTGATCAAGGAAAGATGAAGGAGTTCGTGAGCCACATCACCGAATTACAATTATGTGACCAGTGTGCTAGCAAAAACGACAAATTGTGATCGACATATTCGTTCAAGTAATGGTGAAACCAATAAATCTTACACCCGTCTAATTAAACTTCAATAAAGTTAATACTCCATCCCATCCATACGCTAATCAAGAACGACGCCACAAATGTCAACCACAACAGCAAGCATTTATAGTTGTTATAGGTGGTAGAGCCACGCTGCAGCTATATTACGTTTGTAGCACAAATAAACCTAGCAAGCTAACAGCATAGCAAAGTGGCGAAGCAATCAGCTTTGTAGCGGTTTCTAACGGTTGCCGTTGAGCAATCAGTTTCAAAGTAGGAGGTTCAGATGCCTGGGTGATCAGTAATCGATTGCTGAAAACAGAATTTGAAAATTCAAAACCGTTCTCGAGATAATCGTGGGACAGACGGACAGACGGACAGACATCGTGAAATCAATAAGTGACTTCGCAAGCTTTGCCACTTAATAATAGGTCCACTCGACCGGGGTAGGACCACGCTCTCACAGAAAACCAGCATTAAAAAAAATAAAAGCTTAATGCTGCTGTGTTTCTTATGGTGAGTGTAGAGAACCGGAGAACCTTTTTACTGGAAACGAGGCATTCTATCTTAGCCATTAGGGTTGACAACGCATCTGCATTTTGATACTTAATAGAGGATAAATGTAAATATCTATGGGCCACAGTATCCGCTTACCATCAGGTGGACTGCTTTCTCATCAACATGATTATTCTGTAAAAAAAGTTGGTAACAAACTGATGATGAAACTGATGGTAATATCAATAATCTTCAATTAAGAATCAAAATACAATTAATAAATGCCTCGTTTGGTAAAAACGACTTCGACCCCAGTCGAGTCGACCCATTCGTGCTACAACCATAATATAGCTACTGCTTGTTTTACCACCGCCCAACCACGTTAATTAAAGAAATACAGTTACAAATAGTTGATCAATTACTTACCGACGCAAGTGCGGAAGCTGAGGCCCACGAGCTGCTTGAGCGAGATGGGGCGCGACAGGCGGATATAAGAGCTCCCGTTGAAATAGGCCTCTGGTCGGTCCGACGGGCCCACGGGGCTGGCGGCACGCGCCCCGTGGCCCATCACCGACCACAGCACGAGCGCTATGTAGCAACCTGGAACAAGGTATGTTACGATAAGTTTGGTCTTCATTCTACATTTTAGCAGACTTCAAAAAAGGAGGAGGTTCTATGTTCGACTGTAGGGATTTATCATGTATGCTCATATATTTCTCCGTTAATGAGAGCATCGACGATTTTTTCTGCCTTGAGGGCGGCGTCACTTTCGATTGAGGTAAAGAATTTGAGGGGTGTCATATATGTATATAGTGTATATGTATCTGTATATTCCCGCCGGCACCAATTGCATTAACAATAGTTAATTGCAGTTTTAAATGCTGATCTACCACGTGCTCGGCGGTGAAGGAAAACATCGTGAGGAAACCTGCATGTCTGAGAAATAAGAAAAAAATAAGTATATCGAGGACATGTGAAGTTCGCCAACACACAATGGGGCAGCGCGGCGGACACTTCCTTGCCCTAAAACTCTCTCAGAAATGAGAGGAGGCTTGTGTCCAGCGCAGTGTGACGTATATGTACTCGTAGGCTGTAACTTTTAACTTTTATTTTGTCTGCGGCGTAATAGCTTCTGAACGGATGAACCGATTTCGATTAAGTTTTTTTTTTGTTTGAAAGGTGCCTTAATGGAGTGTTCTTAGCTGTGTTTTAAAAAAATCTGTTCACCCGTTTGAAGATCATCAACTCTTTTCGTATCGCGGGTTTTGATTTTTTTTAATTTTAGTTATATTCCTTTTACTTTATTGCAGTCGGCTTTTACTTTTTGTTAAGTTTTTTTTTTTCATAAAATTATAGCTGACAAAATGAAAAATAACGACCGGTTTGTTTTATGGTACCTATGTTTAAAGGAGTGGAATAATCTGCCGGCATCTGTCTTTCGATCCGATTATAACGTGGGTGTCTTCAAGGCAAGAGTGAATAGGTTTCTGTTAAGTCAGTGCGCCTTACTATCTTCGGCTGCATCACCATTTACCATCAGGTGGGACAGTAGTCAAGCGCTGGCTTGTAATATTTAAAAAATGAAGTGGACACTGCAACCCACGGATACCTTCCATTAACTTTAAACAAGAAAGGCAAATAAAGCATTGATGCATTGGAACACGACGGTCTAAGATGGAAACTACTTCTCAACATGTGGACTAGAACACAGCAAAGGGTGCATTTCTGCTTGGCATTAGATATAGCACTTGTGACACTAGAAGGAAGTAATATATCGTTAAAATATGTTTTTTTTTTTATAGAATGAGGGTAACAAACGAGCACACAGTCCACCTGATAGGAAGTGGATGCTGTAGGCCACAAACATCTACATTTATCCTCGATTAACAATCAAAATGCAGATGCGTTGTTAGTCCCGAGGACTAAGGTGGAATACCTCGTTTGCAGTAATAATGTTCTCCGGTTTTCCACACTCACCATACGGAACACAGCAGCATTAAGCTACTATTTTATACCGTTATTCTGTGAGGGCACGTTCTCCTGTAGAGACGACCCATTCGTGCTAAAACGATAATATAGCTGCAGCGTGGCTCTAGCTCTACCAAATTTATTTATTTCTCACCACGCAATCACAAAAATGTCTTAACACTAAACAAAAATCGTTGTGGATCGCTGTTGCCTGAAGAAGGTAAATAAAACCTGAGTTACAGGTCACCAGGCCCCCATCTTAGTTACCTATTATCACTGAGCTTTTAAGGTAAAAATTTGTGTTCGTAAATTTATGAGCGCCTGAGTAAATTAAGAATGTTTTAACCATTGAGTTATACAAGACAACAGTAACATATAAATCAATGGTTTTAACTTTTTGATTCATCATGTTCTTCATATTAACAACAAAGTAGGTCATCTGAAATAACACTTTCACTGCTGTTACGAAATATTAAGTGTATTGACATTTGATAACATTCCGAGGCTTCAGCTACCGAGGCGAAGTAAAGAACAAGTCACAATAATAATATCTTAATCCATTATCTAACGGTGTATGTAAGCTTACGAGTGAGTCATAAACATAACGCTCAGTGCCACTACAACCGGTTTTAGAATTTGTCTAACGAAAATTCTATGGGTATAATAATAATATATTCATAGTAGAGATTTATTATCATTTACTGTATACCTTGTGAACTGTTCGACTGCCTTGTTGGTCTAGTGATGGTAAATGCGGTTGCTGGTCATGAGGTTCAGGGTTCAAATCCAGGGTCGAGACAAAATCAGTTATTGGATTTTTCTGTCAAAAAATTCTGAGTAGCCGTGAACTATGAACTGAACAGTTGTGCCATACGTCAGTACTATTCGCTAGCTCGTAATTAATTACCTACTCTGTAACTCGTAACTGAAGTCACAAGACTCCAACTGAAAACCAGCGTTGCCTTTGCAAACACATTTGTTTTTTTTTTTGTTTTATTATTAGTTAATTATGCATATACATATCTATGTACTGTATAAGCAGTCTGAGACTGGTGCGTCCATACTTTTTCCTATTGAGTTTGTTTATGTTTTAAATGTTACACATATTTACAAATGTGGGTATCAAATAAAAAGTATTTAACAGTAAAACTTTGCTCGTGTTTTATGGGTTTCATTATAGCAAAATAGTTCACATGCGAACATTAATCTTCGACATACCACGTACCGACTCTATTATCGTTCAAAGGTTCAATCAACGCGTGCCGAACGGGGCGTGTATGGGCGTTCCAAACTAATTCTCATGCCGTACACAACGTCTGTCCTATTTGGGTATGCTGAAGCACTGCTTCCTCGTGTCATTGGTTTGCCAATGTCAATGATGGAGTACTTTGACACGGCGCTGTAGACCGACGAACCATTTAATTGAAAACGTTGTAATATAATTAATAACATAAAATCCTTAAGTTCGTTTATAAAGCAAGCCATAAAATATAGGTATAAAAGTTTTTTTCCTTGACATATACCTACTCCACGGACTAATGATAAAGGAACATTTGAAATCACACAAAATTAATTCATTATTTACAATCACTACTCTGTACGACTGTTTGACAACAGACTATCATGTCTTTGACATTGGCATTATTAACGTAAATAATGTTTTATTTTCTGTCTTCGCCCTAATCGCCAAAGCGACAGATAGATATAGTGACGAACGTAACATCACCGTCGTAACTTACTCGTAAATATTTTAAAAACAAGGCAATTTAATGCATTGTAAGCAGTTGCCATTGTCCGTATAGAACAGTAGCATGATGCAATACAAAATCACTATCTTTGCCTATATCTTCACGATAGCCACTTCTCAAGCAAATTAAAATTAAAAATTTTGTACAACCGACTTCAATATAAATTGTTAAGAATAACTCAAAAACTATTGGTCAGACCTTGATGAAATTTACATGGGGCCCCCGTGTGAAGGACCAGCTTTCAAATAAAAAACGAATCATCGAAATCGGTTCAAAAACGTAAAATTGTCAATGAGCTCCTTTTTTCCCTGTGCCCTTCATATGATAAGTGACTACCGCTGCCAATGACCAACTGCAACACCAGAGGAATTTCAGGTGCGTTGTAAGCCTTTTAGGAAGGAGTAAATAGGCAATTTTCTTGAACAAGCCAAATAAGTTAAAATTAAACCCGACTGATGCGACCGATCATTAAAGCTTGAAAAACCCCCCCACACCTATTAAACTATTCTAATACAAAAGCAATAGTGCAGAGCCGGAATGCGGCAAAAAATCAACGCTCGCATCTTTGCACAATGAACCGAACGCGAACACAACCGGCCGGAGGTGGCGTAACCGCAGAGTACGCAATCCTTGCAGAGCTTCCCGAGCTGACTTTCGATCAAAATATTTTTTTTTTAAAACGCCACACGAGGATATTCTCCTGTATCGTGTTTGAAAAATCAAAAGTACACTACTCACTACTTCTAAGAGACAGTCTCGTACCGGTAAGCAAGGGCTCGTTGTAAAAACGAACTCACGTTCTCTTCACTCGCCATGCTTTACCATATTATGGGACCTTTTTACGCTGGTATTCTGTGAGCCGCCGCACACGTAATAATATTCTATCTCCAAGACTTCTATGTACGTTTGTGGTTTACGAAACAAAGAACTAGTCTTTCCGCCCACTTGCAGTCAACTAAAAGAGTTACGAAGAATTGAACTTAGTGCGCACATATTGTGTTGTGGTCCGTCTAGCAACAAACAAGGAAGTATTTGTTTATCTCTTTTCTCTTAAGATATAGTGACCTCCACGCCAAACCTTCTACAGCCGTACAATGGTTACTAAATAAGCATATAAATGTTTAATAGCAAAATCTATCACACGTGCAAAAACATTGTCTCTGTCGCAGTTACAAAATCGGGTTTTAACTAGGTCAGTTTAATACAAAACGTAATCCCATTGCAATGTAAACTTTGTAATCCTTCGTTTACGTCAAACACTGCAGTGAAAGCAGCAACAGTAATATCTAAGAAATATAAGAAATCATTTACTCCGAGATAAGCTAAAACAAACAACACTAAGCGAAAGGCGCCAAAGGGGTAAGGTAAGGGGGTGAGAGGCGCTTAGTTTATTTCGCGTATTTTCGGATAGGTCTACACAACTAAGTTGGTTTGACTTAGTTTGGCTATTTTACCTAGCTTATCTGGCGTAGTTTGCGGTGGACGCACTGACAAAAACTGGCTCAGCTATGCGAGCTAAGATAAACTAAGTTAGTTTAGTTTGCGGTGGACGTTCGGCTTTACCTAACTTAGCTGACATAGTTTGCGGTGGACGCACATATATGAAAAACTGGCTCAGCTATGCGAGCTAAGATAAACTAAGTTAGTTTAGTTTGCGGTGGACGTTCGGCTCTTGACACAGGAAAATCGACTAAGTTTTAGTATACTATTGAAATGAACAATAATTAAAATTAATCTTAGTGATTCCATAAACGAGCGCTCAACGTGATCGACACCGTTACGTCGCATCTAATGCTGTTAGTAAAAAGAGGATAATCCGATAAAATTGTAGGCATCTGCCAGAAACAATACGGTTAACCGGATCAAGTGTCAATTTAACATAAT